ATAATTTATTTAAATATCTCATTTGCTTGAATAATATATTTTCAATATGAACAGATTCTAAGAACTTAACTATTTACCCCATATATTTTCCAATTTCATGCCTAGGAATGTAGATAATTTATATCTATGAATAAGAAAATTCTAGTTTTTGAAAAATGAATATTTTCATGATATGTGAGTTGTGAATTTTAAAATAATAAAATAAATTAGTTTTCATGCTCTTAAATTATAAATTATTAACTGTTCAATTCTCATTATAACCAGTCCTACTACACACACCCAAATTCCAAGGTAATTGGAAAATACTTAAAGATTAAATTGTTGTATTTGTATAAACGAAATTTAATGCGAAATCCTTAATTACAAAAAATATGCCTTAAAGGAAACAAAAGAGAACTTACCTGTTTTTATAAGCTTATAAGAAAAACTATACCCCTCTCTTAAGCAATTATCGTATCTTTACTGCAGGATAAAAACCTAAAGGAGAATGTATTGCTGACTGTTGTCATATATTTACTTTATTCCGTAATCGTAAAAACTAGAACACACTCTCCCAGTATGGTTATATTAACGCTTAAACTATGTATCTTAAATTGTTTTATGATGTACAATTCGGCACGTTATACATTTCAGAATTTTTTTCTTTGTTATTTCAACAACATATCACACCATATACACGTCTGACGATTGGACTTCCATTGTGACGCTGTTAAATATTTTCAATCACAATGGGCTAGATTTTCATCTCACAATAAATCCATTCGAATGTGTATTAGAGTATAGGACATTTGGATATCAAAGACCGACTCGCGTTCTACTATAACATCAGATGTATGACGATACACAACTGTTCAGTATAGTATGTGTGTCTGTACATTTTATACACGCTATTTGGTGTGCGATGACCTCTAATTTTTATTGCAATTAATTGAAAATATTCTTGATGGCGTGACCTTGTGCTTCTATTTGATGCCATGTTTTTACATATAAATTTGATGTTTATCACGAAAAATGATTATGAAAAATTATACGATATTAATCTAAAATGGCTTCCGTGTATATTGTCTAAATAGGGGAAAATAATAATATACTTATATATGAAATATTATTATGTACTTATGGCAACTCAATATAAATAGAATTAAAAAAAAAAAAAAATACTAAATAGTAGACTCTATATATATCTACTAATTAAAAAATGTTGTATAAATTTCTATACAATTGATAAATATCTATGTTAGTAAGAAATACTATATTAAATTGTACTTAGTACAATCTACCAATGTACCAACTATATTTTCAATTTTATTTAATATTTTATCTTTTACATTTAATATCTACGTATTGTAAAATCAAATTTAAAATACATATGAAACAAATTATCTCTCTAACTTCTTAGGGTCAAGCAATGCGAAGATATAACGTATATTATATCCAGCTATAACTTATTAGTCATTGTAATTAAAGTACTTAATAATACTTACGTTAATTACTTTTAAATTCAGTAAAATTATTTTTATTCATATTTTCTATAAAATAGTCACTATAGGCTCTAGAAATACTTGAGTAATAAGAATAGTGTATTTTAATCCTTACCTAATGTATATTTGTTAACTTTTGACACATTATTTTAATTATTTTATTTATTATGTATTTTAATTATCTTTACTTTAAATAAAGATTTAAGCACCCGAATTAAATTTAAAATATCAAAATATGAAGAAATAATATATATTTTGTCGTTTAAAAAATTAACTTTTAACAATTATTTTTAAAGCGGGAAAAGTAAATAACCATTTTATTGTTCTACTGATAATATCAAGTAATCGAGTAATCATTGTAATGACTCATGAATGTGTTAAGTTTTAAATCAATGATAAATCATTGAATACGAAAAATGATTGAATGTAGGTGGATGGTCTGTCAGTCAGTGGCGTATTTATTAGGTAGATATAACTCACCCTGACTGACCTCCTTTTTAGCTTATGGTTATAGTTGTATTCTTTCTATTTATCACTTTATCAGTAGGCAATAAAACGTTGAGATATTGAGCATCTACAATTATAATTACATTTCATCCCTCAAAGTACCCAATTCTAAAAACGTCATTGCTGTCAGTTAAGTATGTTTAACTATTTTTTTAAACTGAGTATATGTTACGATATATTTATATTAAAATCATAGTAATGACTTTACTATTAGTAATATGGTAGGTTGAATTAAGGAACCTCTTATTAAAATATGTTCAAGTGATGTGTTGACACTGTTGACAGTACAAAAAATAATTTATCGACATTTAAAGATATAAAAACTAAAATTAATTAAAAATTTCAAAGTATATATAACCCAAAAATAATCGAAAAAATTTGAAAATTATAGCATTTATAAAAATACTTGTATAAATATTTGGTGAAAAAGGCGATTGCTATATGTTTTAAATTAAACAAAACAAGAACATTTATTTTATTTTTCTAAGAATTTTTAAAATTGCTGGCAATTTTCAATTTTAACCTCCCAAATCTCAATAATACTAACTAGAATCAATTTTCTATCATAAACCTTCCTTAAAGTAAAATCGATACAATTATCGTTCCGCTCAAAAATTAAAATTTTTATTTACCTTTTAATAAATAGAAAAAAATTGTTCGTAAAATCAAATATATCTGGAAGTATATCACCTAGCTATTACCCGCCTCTCATGTGTGTTTATAGATTGTGATTCATTAAATGGATCATTAAATCGTTTATTAGTGTATAATTAGTGTCAATGACAATATAATATTAAATTGAAGCATCCATGCACCTCCAGCTCGTTTATAGTTAGTTAATACGCATAACAATAATTAGATTAATAGTTATGGTACTTATCTAATAACTGGATATTTAACCGTTAACAATTTGTTCCAGGACAAAATATAATATATATTTATATTCGAAATTTTTTGGAGAAGAAAACTAAGTATAAATAGAATACATTTGATATTCAGGTCTGTCATTACTTATTTTATAATAAAAAAATTAGTTCCGATGACTGGTATTATCTGTTTTGTTTAAACTTTAAATGGTTACCTACAAGTTAAAAATAATAACTATTATTAATAATAATTTACTATCAATATTCTTAAAGTTAATTAATTGTTTTATAAACCATTAATGTTCATAATTTGTATAAATACCTTATAAACCTTATATTTTTTTTTTTAATTTAAACTTTGTGTTTACAATTATTAAATTTTAAATTAAAAATTTGTTATTTATCATAGTACAAAATTAATTATAAACATAAAATATGCATATGTTTTAAATTGTATTTAAAATTTCACTTTTATGATGAATTACAAATGATCATAATTTTTATTCATGGAATATGTCATCAATTATCACTAACCTAATTGCGTATCAGATTATACAAATATAAGATCATATATAATGTTTAAACGATAAGTATATTCACTTTACAGTTAAGAAATAATACGCCAAATCGCACACCGACATTTTGACAATCGTAAATTGAAATTTTTCTCATTTTTCTTAAATTTACGACAAAATGTAAAAATTATAAAAATACTTATGGACTAGTAACTCTTGTTTATTATCCTAACAACTTTCTGTAGATTTCTGACATTAATGTCATTGATATTATGCAGGTCGTTAAAATACGCGTGTACACTAACAACAAGAGTTTGTCTTCGTAAAATTAATACATTATATACCATTATATAGTAAATACCTATCCTTTAACTATCAATCATTGTTGTTTTCTTGATCTAAGATTGCGACATAGTTGCCCTTGGGCCTTGGCTAACTTCATTGTCCCACTAACTCGTTGTACATGACTTTACACGTTTTTTTTTATTCAAATTCAACCCCGCAATGTTTGCTTATCATATATGTGTGTATATTATACACATATATTGCGGTCAATTAATAAATAAAATAACAGCTATGTCATTTAAAAAGCGACACAGGGTCATTTTGAAAAATCAAAATTACTCGATCAGACGACAATATTTTTATCGCGTATTTTTTATTCTTTGCCGCTTCTAATGTCTATATATGCAATAAAAATTACATAAATCTGATTTATTAACGAGCACAACACAAAAAAGTATGTGATAATATGTATATGATATAATATTCATGACGACCACTCATCAACATATCATATTATTATCGAACGTCACTAATAAATATTACTGTTATAAAGTATTAAATTGGTTCAGTATAATTTAAAGTTCAACAATCTCGTGTGCTAAATAATTGTATGTTTGTATCTACCTTCCTATAATTAATAAAGAAGTGCTATGTGTGAATTTAGTTATATACCAATTTCAAACATATTCATATCATAAATCACATTTTCGATATTTTTTGAAAGTAATCATCAACTCAATTTCACTTACGACAATTAAACATTTTTAAGTGTAATAGTACCTACATCATGTACAATAATTAAAATATATTTTTGAAAGTATTCAATATTATGATAGATAATTTAATTACGTTTTAACGTGAGTTTTAAAATTATAGAATACCTAATATGTCTAATCGTTTAATGAACACTAAAAAAAACATTATACCAATGATTCCTTATATTATTACGAGTTTGTAATGTGAAAGTCATATCGAAATTATATAAAGGTAGGTCGTGTCGTACGCAAATCATTTGTAGGTAAATAGATATATTTCAATTTTTAATAAAAGGTATGTGTGTATAACATATAAATCATTAAAACACGTATAAGATTATTTGTTTTAAAATTTTGAAATGTTGAAATAAATTCTAATAGAAACTGAATTAATAGTGCTAAAACTGTCTTTTAAAATATGTTTACCCATTTGATAACACGTGCAATATGAATATTAGCTATTTGTATTTAAATATTACTGTTATTTTACGCTAATAAGTTTTATCAAAAAAAAAAAGAAAATTATTATATAAATCCGTTATAAAGAGAAATATGTATTGTTAAAATGTGTAACAACTATTTTTATTACAGGTCTAGCATACGGATCACCAAGTCATGGAGAAAACGATCAATTTGGTTACGATTCTGGAGAGCTTGGTAAGAATATAAATTCATAACATTATTAATCATTTATGGGTTCAAATTCCAAGTTTTAAAATTAACAGGTCAAGGTTAAATTTTTTAACGAATAAGTACTAAGTATTTGATATAAATATGATTAAATTATAAACTTATAAAATCTATACCGATAAATTTTATAATTATCTATTACATCGTTGTTTATACATAAAAATAGTTTAACAAGTGCAGTGTTGAATAGTATAATACTATAATATTTAAAATGAAACTGAATAATAGCAAGATGAAACATTAATTAAAATACAAAATGCATAAGTTAGTTCGTTATAAAATAATATGGCTTGTACTTGTACATATTCTTGTGTAATTTATGTAAAAAATATGCTTGGAATAAATACCACACGGATTATGTATCACTTAAATTATTTACTTCATAAATGAGTCCTGGTTGAATTCTATACCGTGAACCAAACGTCGCAACTTTTCTCTATTACGATTTGGATTACTATTACATAATGTTAAAAGTTAAAAGTATAACAAATCTTAGTAAATTAATTTCATGCCCTATTTTTTATGTTAATTCTTACCATATTATTTAATTTTAAGATATTTTATTCAAGAAACGTAAAATGGATAGTTCATTCACACATTATAAAGTCATAATTTATTTGATAGGTACATTAAAACGTATAAAATATAAACTAAATGTAGTCAAGTAACAAATAAAGTATTTAGACTGAATAAAAACAATAATCATGTATTAGTAAATAATAAATTACTAATATAATAATCATAACCTATTAATAAGTTAAGTAAATAAATTATAAAAAAAATAATAATTATTTATAATTGTATAAAGGGGACACATTTACAAGAACTAAAATTGTGTGTAGTATGAAATGCTAAGTGTGTTATACGTAATTTAAAAGTGTATAATAGCATAACTGATTTTTACAATTTTTTCTTCATTTTATTTTTAGTTGATTGATTTATATTCATATGTATAATTATATTTTGTAAAAATATCTTCTCTGCATGATATATATGTCACGGGTAAAAGTCAAAATCCGGATAAATCTTAAAAATATAAATTTTTGTCGTGTTTTTATAACTAAATTTACACAATTTTTTAGTTCTCAAAATTAACATTTTATCATTCTTAATATCATTATATTTGTATTATTATTTATGCGCGTTTAATAATATTTAATATTATTTAAAAAATAACATATATAATATATATATTTAATATGAAAAAAGATTTTTAAGACTAAACGGTTTTACCAAAATGAGGTTTATCACAATTATATTTGCCCAAGCAAAGGCCGAAATATAACATTTTTTCTCAAGAATCGTGGACATTACAAGTTTTTCCTAATCAAATTTTACAGTTTTACCCATAACATTTACTAATTATTAACCATGTATAATATAAATTAATAACATACTATATATTATTTGTATAAAAATTAACTATAGCCATTTACAAGTGAACTCCAATCATTTTAAAAATTTTGTAAAAAGCTAATTGTTGAATTCCCTATTGAACAGGAAGTAAATGTGAAATAAATAAAAAATACTGTTTTACATTCAAAAATGTATAATAGTTTTACAAACTTAATAGTTTGTAATATCTAATTTATAATCACGTTTTATAATGTATCAATAACTACAATTTCACTGAATAATTTGATACATACAAAATTACAATTGCACAAAATAATAATTATTTTTAAGTTAAAAAGTTTACCATGGCAAAAACAAACATATTTTTAGCTTAGGTAGTTTTTACCTTAAATATTAAGCTAACATTAAATAGTTATAACTAGGGCTATGAATTTGAAGGAAAGAACATTTTTTTTTTTTTTTGTGATAGTGATATATAGTTTTGTAAGTACAAATTTGAATTATGTAACAACAAATCCATTTATGAAACTTTTATTTTGCATTTTTGACGTTTTTAATTTTTTAGATCATTTTTTTTGTATTTTTAGATAATATTTTTCTTTTTAGTTTATTTTCCAATATTTTTAATTAAATTCTGTCAATTAACATTTTTAAAAACATAATTATCAACAATATAAATACATAACAAACATTTTTTTAATGTTTCAGGTAAATAGCATATTGTACAAAATCAACACTTTTAATTTTTTTTTTTTTTATTGAATAAACATATTTTTATGCATGTAAAATGTAATGTACTAAATTTATAATATCCTATAATATTAATATAAATATAAAAATTAAATCAAAAACCATTTTTAGTGTATTTCATACTATAGTTTTTGACATTTTATATTGCATATTTTGCATTTTTTTGTCATTTTTAATGCATTTTTTTGAAAGTTTTTTAGTGCATTTAATTCACAGCTCTATAGTTATAAAATTTAATGCCAATAAAATAAATATAACTATTAAAAAAAAAAAAAAAATTAAACTATTTTTTAAATGTATTATTCAATAAAAAAAATATACCTAGGTAATTATTTATGTATTTTAAAAATTATTTGAAAACATTAATAATCCATAAAATTGTGGTATTTAGTATTAGGTATTCATATTTATAAAGTATTCAACTTTTAAGCAATAATTTTTATAAACAGTATTTTTCATTAAAATAATAATAACTACGCAAAACTTGTAAAATAGAAACAACTATAATTGTAATAAAAAAATATGTAACACGTAAAACAATTAAAACAATATTGAATATATTTGTTAATAGTTGAGTATATTGTATTATAATTAGTCAAGAAGTAATAAAATATACACCTAGTTAAATTACATACCTATATCTAATGTCATCATCCAAACATTTTCATATGATTTAATAAAATAATTTTTCTATTTTTAAGTTTGATAACTCTAAATCTTTTATTACAAGCTTTAAATTATATTTATAGGTACTGCTTTAGTCAAAATTGTATAATATTAAATATATTTTTTTAGATCCTTTACATTGGGCAACAGAGTATAAAACTTGTTCAGGAAAATATCAATCGCCAATCGACATTGAGGAAAATCTTGTGACAAAAGTAAATCTACCACTTCTACGTTTTCACAATATTGACACACTTCCCACATCAACAATCATAACAAATAATGGACATACAGGTAATATTGATTTATTTATTTTGTATTTATTAATTTACTTTTAAAGATAAATTAATTAAAAAATACAAAAATGTTCAATGATAGCCAAAGTATAAATAATCAAATAATAGTACATGAGTACATGCCACTATGTAATACATAAAGCTGGCATATCAGAACAATATAAATTTAAATAACATCATACTAAATTACTCAAGTTCTACAAAACCACAATATTTAATAGATAATGAAAACATTCTACCCTTTTTTAAACTATTGGTTTAATTATTACAAATACTTGCTTAAAACTGAAGTTTTTCTGAATACCTATGTCATAATAAAGATAAAGCCATGAAATATTTCCATAACAAAACAATATGTACACTTTTTTAACAAAATCATTATAAATATATATATTCCATACTGATACGCTTTATTAGAAAAATAACTTAATTTATGTTATTACAATAATGCAATTATTATACATAAAGATGTAGAGGTATACAATTATCAGTTGTTTATTAAATAAATTAGAAAACTACTGACTAATTTGTGTAAAACAATATGTATATTTTACATGATTACAAAAATATATACAATATACCTATAGAAGTTCTATGATATTAAAAGTTATAGTAAAAGTAGAAACAACTATTTGTTGACAAATTATTGCATGCCATATTATTATTTTGTACAAAGTTAAGAGTAAAGACCAAATAAATCTAATATCTGTAAAATTGATAAAAAAATTTTGATTAAATGATTACTAACATAAATTAGATTTTGGTTTGATGAATCTAAAACTAATTCTGAAATAAAATTAACTCTAGTAATTTAAAATAAATCAATATATTATTGGCTAAACAATTTTTTAGAGAGATATACATTTCAGTACTTCATTTACTTGGCTAAATTCATTTAGGATACATTTGAAATAAATTCTGACTTAAAATTGTAAATAACTAAAATCATAAAAAAAATTAAAACATAAAATAAAAAAAATAAAATTATAATATAGAACCTTGACCATATTGTAATAAATGATGAGAAATTATTGTGCAACCATATAGTTAAAAAAAAAAAGCATATATAAAACCTCAAAACAGAAATATGTATTGTACCAAAGCAAACAATAAAAAATAAAATTATAATTCTAATATACCTAGGTGGTACTCAATTTTAGTTAAATTAAAAGAATAATTAGATTGTCATATTGCCAAAATTACCTATAATTATAGTATGAAACTAAAAAATTATCATAAACAAACTGCAAATAGGACATTAACTCTATCTTAGCAACATAGATTATAAGTTATAACCATTAATTTTAGTCACTTGTGATTTTCAAATTTCAATAAACACATTTATACATTTGGCCAGAGAATGACCTGAATAAGAAGATAAATAATAAATACCTTACGCCGCTTCTATTCTTGAAACATACAAGCTGTACCTTTTCAATTGTTTCTATTCTGTAATATGATACTTAATTTTACATTTTCAACCAACAATAAAAATGACTCCAGTCATGGGCCATGACATGTATTCAGACATTTTAAAATGAGAAACATAATTTATAGTTAGTGTAAAATTAGAAATATAAATGTAGTTATTTTATTGTGTTACTATTTTGCTAGGTAATAATTAATAGGAAATGACAATTCATTAGTAGTATACTAATGTACAATAGAAGAAAAATCAAAAATATAGTTACTTAAAATTAATTGACAATAAACAAAAAATACATATTTGAAATCCAATAATCAAAGCTGTTAGATAGGTATTTTATTTATTTTTATTTAAGTATATTTTTATTCAGTAGTTTTAATCCTAACTTACAAACTTAGTTTAAAGGACAAAAGTATAAAACAGTAGTATATTATAATTATTAAAAATATATATTTTATACATTTTATACAATATAATATAGGTTTTATTGGTATTAATTATTGTTTAGTCAAGGTCTTATGATGTAGTCATGTAGGTATATAGAATATGTAGAATATATTGTATACCTACTATATGTCAAGGAATATACACTCTTTTTCTAAATTATATACAATAAAACTTATAATTTGTATTGATTGATTTAAGTTTTTCAATACTTCTTGTATAATGATAGAGTAAATATATAACTTAGTAAATAATTAAATAACTGCATTAACTACTTCAATTATAATGATATTAAACATAATTATGGAATTATAATTTTAAAATATATCTTATGTACTTAATCTTAAAATAATCCCATTATTATAGGTAACTACTATGATTATTATTTTCATTAGTTTTTTTTTTATTTTCCCACTTTAAACTAGGCTTTAAATTGTTAAATTATAACAATAATTGTTTACTGATCATATGTAAACTGGACTACATATCATGAAAAAGGATTATGATATGCAGTGCACTTATACATAGGTACTGTAGATAAATTATATTATTTTCACGTTTGAATCTAAAGTTCCTTAATGTTATTTATCTTATTAGTATTCACTTAATTAGTAATTAATTATTATCTACATGCATTGTGAATAAAACAAACATTAACTATAATATTAAACTTTATTTCTATAATACCCTGCTTATATAAAATTTAATTTATAATTTTTATATAGATTATAGAGCTCTGAACTGAATAAAAAAAAAAAGTATTGATTATAGTTCACACTTTAGACTATAATAAAGACTAAAGGACTATACCTAGTAATAAATTGATTTAAACACGAAATATTAGAAATATAATAATATTGATATTAAAATGATTGTATATTTATCTATGTATTAACTTCTGAACTGTTTTTTATGCATATATTTTTGTTTTTTGAAATGACTAATACTTTAAATTTTTTGTACAATGTTTAAAGATATCATTTCTCTGAGATGCATGTTTTTGGCTTTCAGCAAATCATATTCTTTCATATAAAAATCTAGCTCCTGTTTATCCTATTAAAAAAAAAAAAACATAGTTATCAAATTTAACCAATTATATAGGTTAGGTACTTAAAACCTATCTAACATGTAAATAAATATGATTGTAAGACACTTTGTGACACTTTGTACGGTCAACTAGAAAAAATTAAAACTGCGAACTGTTATAATAGTATTTTTAAAAAATATTCTGTTATATTATGATTTATAACTCATAACTCACTAATTTATAAAAGTTTGTAGTAACTTTACTTGTATAAATCACTTTTGAACACTTCCAACAAATATCAAATACTTATTTATTCTTAAAATGGTATATATCATACCTATATTTAAAAATTTTTAGATTTAATTTAGTTATTTGGTTTTGGTTCATAATCTATTTTAGAGTTTATAAGTTATGTTCTACTGTGTTAACAAACTCATGCCTTATACTGATTGTGATCACGATTCACCATACAAAGTGTTAGAGATCGATTTTTACCAGTTTATTTTCATTGTCCAAAGTGTCCGTAATATGCAATTTAAACAATAGATATTATAAAGTATCCGTTTACCCATAAATATTTATATTAATTTAAGGTTCCACAGAAATGACAAATATATTTTTACCTTAGATATAGTACGTGAAGCATTAAATTCTTTTATTTGATTTCTCAATTCAAGCAATCTATTTTCTTTTTGTATCAACAAATCAAAATTTTTACTGTATAATTCTGATAATATTTTTTTCATACTCAATACTAGGAAAAAATATGATATGATCAAATTAAAAGAAAAATATTATTACTATTTTCTATTATATGTAGTATTAAAGAAAAGATACTTTGGTTAATATTTTTACCTTCAAGTAAAATTACAGATTACAAAAAAAAAAAAAAGATTAAAAATTTTTAAATAGTTATAAGTCAGCAAAAATTGTCTTTGTATAGAAATTATAATAAATAATTAATTTTATTAATAGACCTTATTTACAACTATTTATTTATTTATTTTTAATATAACATTATACTTACCTAATTTTGTATATGCTTCATTTGGTTTTATTTCCAATTTCTTTTCTGATTCCAAAACAGCAATAGCCTTTTTTTAATAAAATATAAATATGTATATGTAATTTAGTTTTTCAAGCAATTTTTTTACTATTTATGTATACTTAAATATTTTTATATAATAAAGTAATAAAATTAGGCACCTTTTTAATAATTAATATTGATTTTTCCACTTCAACGATAGCATCTAAAAATACCAAATAATAGTTTTTTTATAAGCTATTTAGATACATTATATTTTATTTAAGAGTATTTATAATCTACTAGAAATGATATTACATTTCCCAAACTATATCTACTCAATTACTAGTTAAAGATAAAAATGTAACATCCATAATAATTTTCACTAATATTTTTTTATGATTAATAAAATTAAGTTACAACTTATTTTAAATGTATTTTCTATGTAATTCATTATATTTTTGGAAGGTTTTAAGTCTTCATTTACAAAATAAAACATAAAGTTTTTAATATAATATTTACGAAAAACATTTTTTTTTCTAGTTTTATCATTATTTTAAGAAAATGACCATAAAAATTTAAATTTTTTATGTTTTTACTATGTAGGTGTACCTACATTTTATTTCTCTATCAAAAACTTATTTTTCTTTTAAATAAAATATCACACAAAATCAATACATTTTTTATTTTATTGCATTTATATAATAATATATATATATATATATATATATATATATAGCTAAATAATACTATCATATAGGTTAGGTATTTAGGTATTTAAATATATTTAAACTGGATTCAACTAACTCACTGTTTAAATTTGGGATCAATGTTGAGAAGTGGCTGGATTTATTAATTATATCTTTTAACATTTTTATATATTCTTGTAACTTGTTTCTTTGTTCTTCAGAGGTATAAATTTTTGATTTTAATTCTAATATACCCTTCTTTTTTTTAATAATATCCTGCATCTTATAAAAAATTACCTGCCAGTTAAAAAAAAAAAAAATTGTATAAATTGTAATATGTTAATCTAAATACATTAATTTTCATTATAATCATTGATTTAATTCAGTTTAACATACAGATTCTGACTTAGCAAATATTTCTTCTACCCAAGTGTCATTAATATCTTCTGATGTAGCCATTTTTTTCTAAAAGCAAATTATATTTAATTAAATACTAAGACAACTTTAAATTTCATTTAAAATAAAGTGAAAGATTAAATATCTAAATGTATTAATTTTATAAATAATATAATTAAATCATTGATCATTGTTAAAATATTTTATAAATTAATAACTACACACCATAGATTAAACCTCTTTTTATGTGTACAATATTGCTTTTTTTGTAAACATAGATGATAATTCACTGACTATTCAATACATATAATAAACATTGCCATGGAGAATTAAAAATGTACACAAATTCTAATATTTATTAGAGTTGTTTTAATTAAAGATTAAAATACTCAAATTATTATTTTTTACTACCTAATAATATTCGACCTAGAATTTTAACCTTAAAAAACAGTGCTATAGATAATTGGTCATTAATTCTATTCTTTTAAGCTCATGATATAAAAAATTATGTAACAATTATAATTTTATTTAAGCACATTTTCTGAGATGTATTTTGGAGGAACTTAAAAATGTAGCCTGTGCTACTATAAATCTATACCTACCTAATGCACAATGGATAGATGGTGTTCATTATTTATAACTTTATTGGTATTCAACTAATTAATTATCTATACCTAAACATCATTCAAAATAATATTGACAATTGAAAATTTTTAATTTTTTAATAGTAGTTGCTATATAACCTATATAAGTAAATTATTTACCATTGAAGATAAATTAATTATATTTAATTGATTTGCAAAATATAATATGGTACATACATTACTTATAGTTAATAATTTGTATAAAATTTCAACAATATTAAGTGTATTATAAGTTATTTAAAATGTGTATTTACAGTGGTTCTACAATTAAATTTTACTGCACCAGTAATGATCAGTGGAGGTCCACTGACTCCTACCTACAAATTTACTCAATTGCATTTCCATTGGGGTGTTAATGATTCATTGGGTAGTGAAGACCTCATTAACAACCATAGGTATGTTATAGTTGAATAATTAAGTATATGTTAAAGTAAAATATAATGCTAAAAATTATATTTAAAACAAAACAAAATATTTATTTTTTAATAAAAATAAGTCTATGTGGAGGTATATAAGTTATGTTGGTCTCTTATATAACTGATACTTAAACATGTATTATATAAAGTATATACGTGTTTATCTTATACTAAAAATTAAAATATTAAACTACTTAATAAAATTTTTAAATGCTTATTACTTCTTGGTTCTTACATAGCTATCCAATGGAATTGCATATGGTATTTTCAAACACAGATTATGAAGATGACAAAATCGCCTTAACAAAAAATGATGGATTGGTTGTCTTAGCAATGTTCTTTGAAATAACAGAAAAGGACAATCCTGTGTACTCAGAAATCGTCAATACCTTGGGTCAAATAAATATGCCTGATCAATCAACACATTTACCAGTCGGATTCACTATTAGATCCATGTTACCTGAATCTACCGAACACTATTTCACATACAAAGGTTCCTTAACTACACCACCTTGCTTAGAAGTCGTTCAATGGATAGATTTCAAACATCCAATTAAATTGTCTCATAACCAGGTACTATACATACCTAATTAGTAATTACTAAATTCATATTCTCAATTAATTCTTAGCTTGTGAATAGAGATGTGTCACTTACTATAAAAGTATATTCAAATTTGATAAAATCCCTCCATCCAATCCACCCACTAAAAAGTATTTTCAATTTGTATGCTTTTTCGTGTTATATTATTTATATTATGTATATAATATCAGTTGTACATATTAGAGCCTTAATATATATTAAGGCTCTCTACCCTTTAATACTTATAGTTTAATATTGTATCGTATCAGATTGTATAAATAGAAATTATATACATTTTATTTGTAGAAATGTACACATTTTAATACACTTTAAAAATTTCTAATTTATGTGGAGAAAACCTATAGGGTTGAATAAAAAGTGTTTGATGATGATTAATATAACATTTTGGTATTTCACTTTATAAATCTTAACTCTTTTAAAAGTTATAACTCTACCAACTGTAATGATGAAGTAGTAGTCTAAGTTTAGGGTTGGCCTAATTTATGGAATCCAAGATCTTTAATTAAAAGAAGGAATACATTAATATGTAGGTATTGATATCTTTTTAGAAATTATGATTGAGGAAATAAAAAAATGGATTGGGAATGGCTTCTAGGTAAATACATATGATACTATAAAACTATAATAATATTATATTATACTATTATAATTACTATTATATTTTACTATTATTTTTATATTATAAAGGTTTATGCATAAATTATTATAGTTGAATTCTATGAAGTAAAAATACTAAGAGGAATTTTTTTTAATTTAATTTAAAACAACCTATATACATTGTTAAAATTATATCATAAAATATAGGTAATAAGTAGAGCTAGGACTTAAATGACCTAAAAAATACACAAAAAAGCTCAAAATAAACAAAAATTAATTAAAATACACAAAATTAACGTAATATTTGTAAAAAATGTAAAATATAAAATTACACATTCTAAATTGTTATATAATGAAACAAATTTAGTTTTTGGTTAGAATTCTATAGCATTTAAAGAAAAAGAAATGCAAAAGTAGCATTTAGTAGCACTACTGTGCCATAGCACAGTTTGAATTAATTTATGTTTATAATTTTTTCAGGTTCAAGCTTTTCGTATGTTGCGTTCAAAACATGGACAATTAACACATAATTATAGACCTGTACAAGAATTGTCAGGGAGACCAGTGTGGTATAACGTAGGTGGCTTTGCATCTTTGAATACTCCAATTATTGAGAAAAACTCCGCTTCAACAATTGGTCTTCTTGTGTCTGATATTATCATATTATTAGGCTGCAAACTCGCTGCACTAATGCTATTTTGATTCCTCTGTTGTATTTAAAAGCAACTGAATCATCGATGGAGTTTTATTAAATTATCATGGTCCTTAAAAGGATAATTATACTATAAATTAAGCAATATGTATATATACATATAACAAAAATTATATAACTATTTATGTGATAGATCTCAACAGTTTATTCTTAGATGATTTTTGTGATTTACTTCTATTTAACGGGACATTTTTTTTTATATATATATTTAACTATTATTTTCATGAAAATAATGTATTAAGAATTTTTTCTTTAAATAATTTTACCATTTATTTTTATACTAACCATTTTATAATTACCTACTGGTATGTAATTTTTATGAATTACTAAAATTGAAGATAACATTGATAATAATCTTTGAAACAAATTTTAAAAACACTTATGTCATTACAGAACAACATTTTTCACATTTATAAGCAAATGAAATACATATTATTTGTCTTCAATAAAAACGACAGCCATATTTTATAATTCCATTGATCACTTTATGATCACTAAAATATAGTTAAAAAGTAGATATTTTTAAATAACGTTTAGCATTATAATGTATATTTTTGTGTGGCTTAATTAAAAATTAAATAATAATATAAAATAAATATTATTAAACAGAATACAAGTAGATAATAATGTAGATAAAATTATCATTAGGTATACATTCAATTTTCTTAATAAATCCAACAACATAAATTTATTATATAAATATAACATAATATTCAAATAATTCTCTGGAGTTTTCTAATTTAGTTAAACTTAATTTACTCTTATATGAATATGGATATATTTAAAGGATTACTAAAATTATATCATTTATTTATTTGCATTACAATGTATTATTGTTCTGTATTGATTAAAAACAAAATTTGCACATTATCAATAAATTAGTATTTAATAAAAGTACATATTTAATCAGAATTTTATAAATGTTTGATACCAATACAGTAATACATTATACTATATATATATAGTAAAATATAAATCTATAAATGCAATAAAAAAGTATTATAAAATTGAAAATTACCTCTTTGAGATAGAATTGTAAAACCAGTTAATTAATATTATAAGAAATTAATTAAAATTAATGATATTTGTATTTACATAATTTAAGAAAATATGTTTTCTTTCTATATTGTGAAATACAACAAATTTATTAAAATTGTATTACTTATTTTAGAACATTTTATAAAATTCTGTTATACGATAACTAATTTTTAATTATAATAATTATAGATTTGTCTTAAAATACTATGTAAGTATTACTATTAATTATTTATTTTTATTTAATAATATATTGCCATAAATAAAAAAGTGTGTGTAAAAATTGAATGATAATGTACCAATTCATATATTTAAAATCTAAATTAATTTGTATTATACATTTATAAATACATGTGAATTAGTGATGTGGAAAAAAATTAGTATTTTTATTTATAATTGTTATGTAAGTAAATCCTGACTTAATCTTTTAGTGTAGGTAACTATAGTATACTACTTACATTATATTAGTCTTCAATTTCTAACCATCAATACTATAACATGAAACTTAGACCTTTTTTTACCAAATTAATATAGTACCTTAAATAATTATTCACTTTATATTTCAAAATCAATATTATTATATGTTATACAATAATATATTGTACAAAGTAAACATAACTATATTTATATTATTGATTGGTGTAATAAATTATTATTATCTAGTTACAAATATCAAGTTTACTTTTGAAAAAATCAAAAATGTCATACAGACTATAAGGTGGAACGTGCTTTTATGAACTTTCCTCAATTATGTTATACTCAAAATTAATTAGATGAGAAAATTAAGAAATACCAGACTTATAGTGTTTTAAATAAAAATGCATTTAGGGTACTATCCATGAATTTTTTGTATACAATTTTTAGTAGGTTATCATCTCTAATTTGAATTTTTAACTTCTACTAAATAAATTGTTTACTTCCTTTAAATTTTCAAATATTCATTTTTATAATAAATTAGCATAATAATGTTATAAAATCAAAACCTAAATCTCTTATAGGCTATAGCTATCAAAATTAATATAGGTATCTTCTAATTATTAAAATATTTTATTAATCTATATCACAATAAATTATTATAATCTGTATTATTGATTCAATAAAGTGTATTTATATAAGTAAAAGAAAATTTTGGTACCAATGGACTACATGGACACAAACTATTTTTATATTTTCACTTTACATAAGAATTACAAGAACATTTACTTAACATTTCTACCCAACATGTATCTATGTTAAAACAATGCACAATATATGTTAACTATTCATTAATATAAAAATAAAATTATTTTCAATCACAATAAAGCTAGATAGTATGTACCTTCTTTAATCTTTTAATTTAAATTATCATTATTTAAAATTTCCACCTACCTTTACGTATATTCCACTATTTGTACTTATATCAGAAGATGTAATTTCACTAATTTCAGATTTTAATATGAGAGGGCAAAAGTTTTGACCAATTCATTTAATTGAAAAAAAAAACAAACTCATTAATTTACATTTAAATTTTTATGTAAATACAATTTCTATTATTCATAGTTATATATCTACGTGATTGTGGGAAAAAATAGCAAAATGTCTTAACAAAAATACATTGGGATCTAAATAAATATGGTACCTATCAATCTAGGTATCTCAAATCTTAATGGAGTTTTTAGTTTTTTCTCAAAGAGTCGAACAAATTAAATAACAACCCTTAATATAATTGCTTTTTGAAATAAAATTAAAAATTCTTTATTTTAGATAAAAATTATTTGTTTATTTATTAAAGTTATAATAATTATACACAAAAAATAAATTTTTAATTTATTGCAGAAGTACTTGGATAGTCGGATGGCCATACTTTTCAGAAGATTTTGCTTTTTTCAACAGTTATTTTTCCCCTTTAAAATATTGGTAGAACTCTGCGCAAGTAATTTTATAGTTCATAATTGATGATTCATTCGTGTTTGTATGCAATAAAGAAAAATTTGCAATACACAATTTCAATCGGGACATTTTGGTCTTATGTCAGGATAGAGAGCTCAATATCGGTGACATAGTACATCAATTACAGCCATCGTCATGGTACTATATGTATTATATATACATATGGATATGTAAACTGTTCGTCGACAAAATAATATTTAACATGTTACAATGTTATGACTAGAGCTGTGAATTTAAAACACTAAAAAACTTTTTAAAAAATGCAATAAAATATGCACTTAAAATGGTTTTTGATTTAATTTTAATATTTATATTTTTATTATAGGATATTATAAATTTGGTAGATTACATTTTACATGCATAAAAATTTATTTATTTAATAAAAAATAAATAAAATATTTAAAATGTTCATTTTTTTGAATTTTGTAAAATGCTATTCATCTGAAATTTTTTTTTTTATATGTTTATTTTGTTAACAATTAGGTTTTTAAAGATGTTAATTGACGAAATTTAATTAAAAATACCGGAAAATGAACTAAAATAAAAAAATATGACCTAAAAATGCAAAAAATACAAAATAATAGTTTCATAAATGGATTTGTTGTTAAATAATTCAAATTATGTACTTACAAAACTACGTTTCACAATCGCCAAAAAAAAAAAAAGCAAGTTCCTACAAATTCACAGCCCAAGTTATGACTAATGAAAAATGACTATTGACCAATAATATGGGTTTCCCCCAAATTAGTACACGGCACACGCCACACGGTCTCCGGTTTAGTGATACGTTCCTACACAATACACACCGCACATATTATTAGATCATAATAATATGTTTTCTTCAGACAAAACAAAATGTTTAGGTATCTTATTCAATAATTAGGATTTAATGTTTGAAAGCATAGAAGGGAGGCTTGGCCACAGTTCCCCCCCTTCTTGAAGCCCTGCCTACTTGAATATAACTTAAAAAATGGTTGTTTTGTGTATTGTAATTGTGTCAGTTGATATTTGATACATACTAATTTTAGAATGAAAAAAGCGCAATTTTAAAAATAAAAAAAATTATGAGATTACAATTTATATATAAATATTTAATATGTATATATTCACAGTGGGCGTAAAAAAACTATTAATATTAGTGAATAGTGATTATTACGACTATAACTTCTCAGTACCTACACTATAAGATGTGTCTTTAAAATCATTAAGATAGTTAAGTTTTTTTTTACCAACAGGCAACAACTGACATATAATACGATAATAGTCTAAAAAACTAGAGTTGTTTTTTTAAAATCGGGCATGTTCAACTAGTCTTAGTGCCCAGTTCCCACCACCCTGTCACTGCTCAAATGACGCCACTGAATAATATAAAATATTAAAATAAAATGACTGAAGTTGGAACACAATTAAAACATACATTTTATACCATTAAAATAGAATTTGAATTTTTAAGCAGCTAAACTAATTCAATTTTTGTACTGCACGTCTGCACACAATGTTAATGCACTTAAAACATATTTAAATAATTAAGTCATTAGGACGATACCTAATACCTACTACTTTTAATGATTTAATACACACGAGTATTATATACATTAAAACTTAAAAGTATTGTTAATTAGTAAATTATATAATAATCATACTAAGTAGGTAACCAGGAAGGTACAAGATACTCACAAAAAGTATTATAACTCAATAAGTTATGTTTTAATAAAGTAGTACATATACAGTACCTACCAACTACCTATAATTATAATACTACTGTTGTACTACAGTCTACAGTAGTAATGTAGTACCATTAATTAATTGCTTATTATAGAATCATTAGAAATTAGAATCTATATAGGTATTAGGTGCATACTAGACACCGATATGCTATTACTCTATGATAACTAAGTTTGTTTTTACCTACAGGTTCCTATTTATCTCTGTTAATTGATTAAATGGGTTTTAGTTAACAATCGATAGGAAATAACCATGACGTTTCCAGTGTTTCAACAATGGTTAGTCAATTATTAAGTCTGTAATGGAAAGAGTGTATACAATAAATAAATACCTACCTAGGTACCGGTACGTGCTAAAGCTATAGGAAGAGTAATTTTGTTATAACAGATTATATTTACTGTGTACAAGCTGCCAGCTAATAGCTATATTGGCCTACGGATAACCATTGATTAAGTATATTCAATGACGTAACACTTAAAATTAATTTTTTTAAATTTTTTTTATAGGTAACAAATAATTTTTTATTTTAAGAAACTCACACGTTTTCAGAAAAATGGTATATGAAATTATTTATTTGGCGAGTTTGAAGTGATATAATTAAAACAAATGTCTCGTTTCCAACCGAAATCATAATTTTACAAAAACATCAATTATTTAGTGTATTTACTAGGTACCTATTAGGTACGTAATAATAAGTCATTATAAAATTACATTTATTGAGTACCTAGGTACCTATACAATAATTTATAACACATAGGAGATTAATTTAACATGTAACAACTATGTTCTCAATTCTTAGTTTCTACATTATTGAGTAAATTTGTATTTTTTATTCAAATTTTGATTCCGTGAATGTAACACCATAGAAAAATTTAGTATCGGCACAAATAGATTTCATTACCTAATATAAATAGATTACTACCTTAGCTATTTAGTATTAATACTAAGGCTAACATTAAGGACGTTGGGGTATCACTCACGTACTTACCTAATATCACTTCAGAATATATTATAATCTGTGACATCACTATTCACTATTAATTCACTGCTGTCTGAAGTAGTGCAGTGGTTCAGGTTATCAATGCATAATATTGTTTTTATGACAGATAAACAGCGACGGCGGCATGAGGGCATGCGATAATTTCGATATATAAAACCTAGCAAATCATTTTTTTTTTTTTTATACTTAGAAGTAGATAATACTATAAATATTAAATATTAAAATATAATACATTACTTTAGGTTATAATTCTATGTTAATAAGTTAATATGTATTATTGATATATTATTATTTAGGTGCACACATAGACTTTCATAGAATTTTAATTGCACATAAGTGAGAATTGTTAACATATTCTCAATTTAGCAGAAATTTAATACTATACACCACTGTTTGTTTGTAAATTTAAATAATATAATTCTATATTTTATAATTTTTAATTTTACATTTGAATAGATTTATAACTTTGTGACAAATAAAATGTCGAAGATTGTTGTTATTGGTTCTTGTAGTACTGATATGTTTTTGTAAGTACCTATGTATTATAGTCATGTACAAGAATATTTTCAAATATTTTGTTATTATTAAGTTCTATTTATTACCTACTAAAAAAGTTGCAAAAACGTTATCAAATAATTGTAATTTAATATACCTACATATGTATAGATGCAGTAGCAGCGCTAAATATTTTACTTCAAGAGTCCTATTAAGATTCTGTTCACCTACCAATCTAGAAAATTTAAGGGTAGCCTGTAAAAATGAACCTTTTTATTTCAAATTTACATTTATGAATATCTAAATTGTTCTATCACTACTCTAGTACTCCATACCATTATACTAGAAACAACTTTTATCAATATTATTAAATTGTAAGTGTATAATAATGTTTTAAAAACATATAGATTCATTTTAAGCTGTTACCTATATTTTATACTGCATACTTATATTATAAATAATAAATGTGATGTTTTATAAAATATACTTAAAAAAAAAAACACTTAACAATTTAAGCTGAACAACAGATTTTGCTAATAGTTGTTTTTCATATGCAATGATTTATCATTAAGTTTAAATTAAACGTTATATTGCCTTACTTAATGATATGAAATACATTTGATGTATTCATTTATACAACACAATAACCTACTTTTCCTTGGTTTAAAATAGTTGTTATAAATAACAATAAAAATATAGCAGAGAGAAAAATATATTAAATCAAAAAAATAAGAAATATAATATCCAAAATAAAAATAATGAATAAATACCCAATTACGAATTAATATAAAAAGCATTATTCATAATAGAATATCTTAAGTAAAAATTTTATTTGTATATAAAAATATTAATCAGTATCGGGGCCTTAATAGGTAACTACTGATTATGCTCATTTTTAATTAATCTATTTCATTTGTTTTTAAATTATAGCTTCTTGGACAGCAATACCTTGTTTATACATTAATATTAAATGTATCAGCTAGGGTTTTAGTTATATATATTTTATAATATTAAATTTAAAGTTGTTAATAAAATCAATTTTGTATTGACGATATTTAAATTAAATTTAGTATGGGTTTCTTAAAAAAAAGTATTGTATGGGTATTAGAATTCAGTATCTATTTCACATAATTTAAGTACAATCATATTTTTCAAAACAATAAAATTAACAAACTAAAAATATAATGAAAGAATTTCTAGAAAAAATAATATCATAACATTTAGTATAATTTACTTTTATGTTGTCCATATGTAAAACAACTAATTATTTTTAATTAGCTAAATGTTTAATTTGTTTCAGTTATACATCAATATTGCCTAATCCTGGACAGACCATACATGGTAAACAATTTTCTTTAGATTTTGGTGGTAAGGGAGCAAACCAATGTATTGCTGCACAGAAACTTGGAGCTGATACTGTATTTATTGGCTGTGTAAGAAACCGTAATAAACTATCACATTTTGTATTATGTTATTTCATAAATTTTAGTTCAATTGCAATTCATAAATTTTATATTATAGGTTGGATCAGACATTTTTGGTAAAGATATTATAAATAATTTTGAAAAATGGGGCGTAGACACTCAATTTATAACAAAAAAATCAATTGATACAGGAGTTGCTCAGATAAATGTTACTGATAATGGTAAAAAATTGAATGTTTTTTGTTAGTAGTTAGCAAATAATATAATAATAATTATCATTGGTAAATAGTAGTTAAATAATAATTTAATAATTATTATCTATTTATTATTCATATTCATTTAAATTTATTTATTCTTACAGGTGAAAATTATATCATTGTAGTAGCTGGAGCTAATGGAACATTACAAAAAGAGGATGTTGATAAAGCACATGATTTATTATTCAATGAAACTAGTGTTGTGCTATTTCAATTTGAAACTCCACTAGAAACAACTGAATGTATACTTAATATGCTTTCAACTGCAAATAGTAAATGTAAATATTTATACTACCACAAAATATTTAAATAATACTAAGTATAGTGCAATCAATATTTTATGATATAGTGAATTACTACATAATAAAATAAAACATTATTCATAGAAAACCTGGACATTTAATGAAAGTCTGTACATTTTATAATCGTCCCTACTTGATTATAGAATTTAGCATTACATGTCTTTGAAAATTGAGGAGTTTGGTCATATTATGTGTGTGTATATATATATATATATAGGATGTTTGTTTTTAAAGGTTTCACAAAATATTTTAGTTTCGTAATTTCAGATTAATGTGAGGTATAAGGTTTTTGGGAAGAGATAGATATTTTTTGATGTTTTAAAATTTATAATTATTTTAGTAGCCTATGTGCAATACAACTTACTTATTTTACATAGCACCAGATGTTTTCAACTTAAATTTAAATAGACAGAATGTTTTTAAGTAATTTTGACTTACTAATCATGATTTTAAAATCAAAATTGAATGAAAATGTGCTTGTTTTGTTTTAAATTATTGAATTTTTCAATAATTATCCAATGATTTTTCAAATGTCTGAACTATCTCACTTATTTTTTTTTCATTCAATGATTTATAAATAATTTTTAAATTTTTAAATACCCCTATTAGCTGGTAGTTATTATTTTTAATTTGTGAATCGATAATTTCAAGTTCTTCTTATAATTAATATTTATACCTTTTAGCTTTGCAGATATAAAATTATGTTGCAATTAATAATCTAAAATACAAATAATTTTACATCAATTTAAAATATTAAAAAACAAAAAAGATCAAAATAGAATTTAAATAATAACATAAACAATAGACCCATAAAATAATTTTTGTAAGAATTAAAATATAAATTATTATTAATAATAATAATCATACATTATATTATATTGATAAAACTAGGCATTAAATAGCAAAATTTTATACAATTTAGACATCTAAAATTTATTATTAATTATTATTTATCAAATATTTCAATTCTGATTGGTACAATAAACAAAAGATTAATTGTATATTTTCATTTAATTTTAAAACTTTCTAATGTTAATTATTGATGAGTAACTTTTTATGATTTACTTATACTATATTTACATAATTAATATATATTAAATATGCTTATAATTTTATTTTTTCAATTTATTTCATAATTTTAAATAGTTAAAATCTATACATCTTAAATTGTGTTATTGTAAATAATAAAATAAAAATTACTTATTACCACTAATAATTAATAAGTATTAAGACTTATGTTTAATAATATAATTAAATTATATTAAATAATTTGTTTAGGTTGTAAAATTGTTAATGGTGCTCCTGCTTATTCAAACTCTTATCAGAATATACTAAAATTGACCGACATATTTTGTGTTAACGAATCTGAGGCAGAAATTTATACTAATTGTATAAAAAAAATTGATAGTATTGAATCAGCCAATGAGGTTTTGTCTTTACTTTTAAATCAAGGTTGCAAAACTGTAATTATTACATTAGGACCTCTAGGTGCTGTATTTGCATCTAAAGATGAGCCAGACCCACAGTGGGTTAAAGTGCCAAAAATAGAAAATCCTGTTGATACCTCAGTAAGTTATGTTTATGAAATTATTTTATTTCTATATACTATTGAAAAATGTTCTGCGTTTTATTTTAGGGTGCTGGTGATGCATTTTTGGGAAGTCTGGCTTATTTCATTGTTTATACACCAAATTTAAGTTTATATGAACAAATTCAAAGAGCATGTATAATAGCTACAAAGACAGTTCAGTTAAAAGGAACCCAGAAAAGTTATCCTTTAAAAAATGATTTACCTAAAGAACTTTTCAATTAATATTTATGTGAAATAAATGTATGAAGTAAATGTAATATGGACGTACTTAATTATAATCTATATGTTTTGAAAATTATGTTATAATATATCAATGTAAATATACTTACATTATTGGTTTAAAAATTAAAATAATATTAAACCTTACCTGTAATACCTAATAGATAATAAGATATTTTCTCTTACTAAGGTAGACCTAGATTGGGCTAAGAAGCTACTGGATATCTCTCTTGATATTTTAGAATATTAACAAAAATTGTCAAAATTGGTAGAATATATATATATATAAGCTATAAATATTCATTAATTTTTATTTATATTAAGGTCATATAATTTTTTTTGTAATTAATGACAAAATATTTTCAATTTTACATTTATCAACATGAAGTTCTTGTATGAGATATCCTATAGCAATCTATATGGTTAAAAAAATGAAGTATTAAAGTATAATTTTTCCCTGAGTTTTAAAAAATTTGATGTTAATTGTTTTAACAGTTTCCAAATCTATAAACTCCATCTAAGTGTATATTCAATGTTAATTTGTATATGTATAGAAGAAAATTATAAATTAACTGTAATATGTACTTCACAAATTATTTATAAAAAATTCTTTCTTTGACCATTATAATGAATATCTTGAATTTATATTTATTTTCGAATGAAAATTATAAATAAGGTGCTATAGATTTTCATACTGTACATATTATTTTAAATGTTAATTATTTAAGAAGTTGCTAATTAGTCTTTAGATGTTAAAACAAAGTCAAACTAGAATGAGAGGGTTATATAATTTTCAAGGATATTTCTATTATTTAAAGTTCAGTTTCGTCTATAAAATACAAATATCATTCATTTTATTCAATGTCAAAAAAATAAATGAAAAATTTAAAAAAAAGCGCGTCAGTTACAATTGCGGTATCCGTGGTATATAAATTACATAGTTATTATTTTAAACCGCCGTTTTGCGGTCAAAGAGATTTATAGAGAAATATCGAACCTCTTTGGTTTCTGTGAACACGTTTCACATACAAGCAATGATTTGATGCCGTGGGTTTTCATTGCTCAACGCTCGGCAGGACAGGTACCTCCCACCTCCTGGCAATCCCCACCAACATCTGTTCCAATAGTTTCACCAAGCCTATGCGTCACTAACACTAATCCACTAACGTCCGCAACCGTCTTGTTCATTTTTTCTTCACGCGGCGTTAACGGTGTAGTGCCGTAGCCGTTAAAACGAGGAACATTTCTACGAACGCGGTTTAACGAGTAACGCGTTGGTTTTGTTTGCAAAAGTAAACTACGTTGCCGCCACACCTGGAAGTCTACTAGTCGTCAGTGTTCCATACATTCAACGTCATCCGCACTATCGTCACAAAAACCATGTCAAGTAAGTATCCCCTTTGTGTGGTCATTTTTGTTTTTTCGTGATTAGATGTTATTGTCAATATAATATCTGTCGGTCGAACGGCGTCCGCACGTCAAACGCGTCATTCTGAAAGGCGGTAGCATCATTGACGCGTTCACAGACATCGCGCGTCTAAGGTCTAACCCTAGTTGCCATGACCTTAACCACGTTTTGTTCAAGTACGGTCTCTAAACCATCGTTTGACTATAAAAAGTTCCGTCTTCTTGTGGATTAATTTCACCGATTTATTGATCCATTAACCGTTCAGACGGGTTCTGCGTTAAAATCAGGTTCACGTGTTTTACACGCATCGTACGATTTTTTTTTATCACATCCGATGATAACAGGTCAATGGCTTCCGCGCGCGTTTGACTTATGGCGGTCAGTCTATTTTGCGCCCGACCGAAGTTTAATGCATTTTGCTAAATTAACGATTTGTCTTCTCTTGCCATCAAGGGAGGGCCCCGTCAATGTCGTATGGTATAATGTAATGTTGCCGCGGTGGGGATGAAGCGTCCGTTACCTCTCGATCCTCCTACCCTACCCCTTCCGGTCGTATGTTACGGCAGTGTTTTTTATCTATTATTTTATTTTGTTACATAGTGTTATCTATTATGGTGTTTGGTTTTTTTGGAGAAAAATTCGTTCAGAAGAGCGATGCTTGGTATAACCGCGTATCTGGTGGATTTATTGATTTTTCATATAATTCTGACTATTAATCGCTTCCAATTAAAATGGCTAAATCATTCTTAATCGACACTTCTTCTTTAGTTCTATATAGTATGTCTATTTCATTGTAAAGTGTATTTTACAAATTTTTTCTGATATTTTAAATTTAATAATTTTCATAATTTGATTCTACTTATATTTTGTTTGTATATTTTTCAAATCAAAATGAACATAATCTTGCTTTCATAAGATAAGCACTTGGATCAGATTAAATTTATTCAGTTTAAATACTAAGTAAAATACTTGATCAGTGAATAATCTGCAAACCATTTATTAACTCATTTATAATTTATTAAACCACTAAAAATAACAGTTAAGAAATATTTAAATGTATTTTGGATTATATACTAATAAATACCCCGAGTATTAAATTTGTTTCTTTTTTGTTATCCAGTATTTATTACAAATCAATTTGTTTAAAATTTATGTATTGTTTTTATTTATATTTATCTGAATCTTATTAATAATATGTTTTTTTGTATACGTCTAGCAAAAAAAATCATAATAGTGTTTTTTAGTGAATTAAAGTTGTCTACAACTACCTTTAGCTTATACTCTCATGTTTAACATGTCTAAATATTTTTTTTTTCATTTTTATATTGTTGAAAGACTAAATTTAATTAAAAAATTCTTCCTAAAAGCACCAAACTGTACTTTTTTGTTGTCATTTTGGCCGTCAAATGGAAGTAAATTAAATTTACTTTCTTTAGTGAGGGATTAGTCCATTTTGATTAATTCATCAATCCGGAATGTTACATTTATTCATATTTTTTTAAAATATGTTGTAGGAAATTATTTTATAATTAAAAACTATTTGTTTTATAATTATTAACAATCAATATCTTCCTAAAAGCACCAAACTGTACTTTTTTTGTTGTCATTTTGGCCGTCAAATGGAAGTAAATTAAATTTTACTTTCTTTAGTGAGGGATCAATCTGTTTTGATTAATCCATCAATCCGGAAATGTTACATTTATATTTTATTCATTTTTGTTTTTCAATATATTGTAATAAACTATTTATTTTATAATTAAAAACTACTTGTTCTATAATTATTAACAATCAATATCTTCCTAAAAGCACCAAATTGTACTTTTTTTGTCATTTTGGCCGTCAAATGGAAGTAAATTAAAATATAACTTTCTTTAGTGAGGGACTAGTATTTTTTGATAAGTCCATCAATCCGGAATGTTACAATCATCTTTTAGTTATTTAATAATTTTAATTTTATGTTATTTTATTCTGGTAACTATAAAAAAATATTTTCAATCTAGAAAAAATAAATAATACAAATAGTAGTTCTTAAAGTAAGGGGCTCTAATATAGATGGTTCTGAACTGAATATTTAACATGGAATATTTTGTTTAATAATAATTCTATAATAATTTGGGAACCGCTAATATTAATCATAAAATTGTGAATATTTAATTTTTATTAAAATTGTGTTGTAGGCAAAAAGAATAAAAAACAGAAGTGGATATCAATAGAAACAGAAGTTATTTCTATTGCTAGTGGAACATGCTGGGCCGATGAGGCTGAAAAAGAACACAATGGAAAACATGGTACATCTCTTTTTCTATTATTTAGTTAAATATGTATAAATATATTATTGTTTCAAAACTTGCCTTATGATGAATGTTTTAGAGCTTATCCTCGTTTATTTGGTTGCTTAAGCTTCATAACGAGAGTAATATCAGTCAACAAGAATCTTGCTTCAGGGGTTCACACACTGAGTACTCTGTTACTTTATATAACCCCGGGAAGGTCTGAGGCAAAATCGCCAACCCTCCAGCCGGGGGCCTTCTTAACAAAGTTGGGCAGGAGAACCAGAAATTGGTCCAGTTCTAAGATTTTTAGGTCTGAGATGCCACTGGTTGAGACTATAATTTTGGGTACTGTTGGAACCTCCTGTGATTCGCATTTTTAGTTCAATTTGCAAGGTTCTAGCTATGCTAGTATAACTCAATTCAGACTAATCTCTTGTTGACTGATTATCTCTAAATCTGAGGGCTTTTTGTTTAAATTTCAGTATTTTCATTCTATTATGTTATATTAATTTATTATTCTTGAAGATATTTTTGCACAAATTCTCTTTAGAGTTAGTTTTAGTTATTATCACTGTTCATAAACAATATCTTCTTTTTTTTACCTAGAAATATTCATTATGTATTGATATTGATATTAAGATGGAAATGCTATTTTTCTTAACAACACTTTTATTAATATTGACTTAAATGTAAACTTAATCATGTTTAAAACAATATTATTTTTTGTAGGATTTGCTGGTTTTGGATTTGAACCTAAGCCATTAAACCTTCCTAAGGCACCAAGAGCAGCATGTGAATCTATTATAGATGAAAGCACTGTGCCCCAAGAAGGACCATTTTTGGTTCATATGTCAAATTTGCAGTTTGAAATAGATGAAGATGATATCACAAATTATTTTAAAGGACTCAAGGTAAATTATTTGTTTTGAGTATATGATAAATAAAATACTTAAACATTAATATTTTACACTTCTGGTTAAAAAATAATTATTTAGCATATCCTATGAGCTGATTCTGATTAATAATAAATATATTAAATTATTATACTCCATTCAAAATAATGTCTTTACCAAACTGCTAATTTATGTACTATTATGTAGCTTTATTCAGGTTTTTATAAGGAACTAGTTGGTGTAATCTACTGTCTGCCCAGTACTGATATTATGAATACTATTTTATGATATATTATAATCGATAATTATAAATTTTTATATTTAAATACATCACAATAGTTTCTAAATCTAAATAGTATTATAATATAATTTAAATATTTTTATTTTAAATGTTAGGCGATTTGCACAGAGTTGATGATATTATTGTTATCAATAAGTATTTGCAGAAACTGTGCTATATTAATTT